AAATGCGGTACGTTCTTTATGCTTTTCTTCCAGAGATATTTGGAAAAAAAAACCACTTTTGAAATCAAGTACCGAGTAAATTTCTTTTCCACTAACAAGATCTAAAATGTCTTGCATATGTGGAATGCAATACGTTTCGGTTTCTGTGATTGCATTGATTTGACGATAATCCACCGTAAATCTCCAGCACAGCGGGCTGTGCGTCTACTCGTGAGCCTTTTCCACGCGTGGGCGCCTTCCTGCGTAGAGCCCCAAGCAGACTCTGGAAAACTCCTCCAGGAGAGCTAGGTGCTCCTGGAAAAAAAAGAGAAATAGAATTTCGTTTCCTCTCTCCCCATCTCCTTCACAATAAAAAAAGGGGGAAAGCCAATAACTTACCCTCAAAGTGCGTTTATAACGTTCCTCCGCGTTCTTTACTTCTTCCTCTGCGCTCGCAAACTCCTCGGCCATCTTGTCCCGATGTTCCCGCTGCTCCCTCGCGAGCCGCAGACACTTTTCCTCTTCCTCCTTCGCCCTCATGTTCATATCTAGGCTCCACATGGCGTCTTCTCCGCACGAAGGGCAGAAATACTGAAAGATGTTAACTTTTTACCGGAATTTTTTTTCTCAAAGTGTAAGCAAATTTGTTTCACCTCTCTCCTGAACTCGATCCTTTCGCGTGGGCCCAGCGCTGCACTGACCATTCCACGAGGACACGACAAGCCTTTTGGCGGCAAATAAGTTTTTGCAAGAAAAATTAAAAATCGGGGAAACTTTGGGATTTGGGAGGACTGTAGCAGAAGAGGAAGTTCAGCGGAAGCTAGTGGTCGTATTTTACAGAACGTTCCCCAGCTACAGGACTCGCCCTGCAGAAACGAGACTAAAGCTGCTCGTGAAATTGGGCGTTGTTCCGCAGTATGTCCCACTACAACAGTTTGGCGTGTATGCAATACTTGCTTCAAAAAAAACTTTAAAACTATCCTTAAACTAGTCTTTTCCTTTGTATTGTGCTGCTTATTACCCATAAATTAGAGCATCGTTACTTCGAGGCTATTATTCGCCTAAATTCTATCAAAAAAACGTGATCTGGAACGACCTGGTCCGCTTGAAATACGATTGAGAGGCAGTTCGCGTTTTCTAGGGCTCTTTTTCTTTGAAACACCGAAAATCACTCGCATGGAACATGTCTGAATTTTTCAAAATTGTGCTGGGTTTTTCTTCTCGCTCACATTTCTTGATAAATGGTGTTTGGAAGTTCTCGGAAGGTATTGGTGCAAGCTACCACTGTTTTATGCAGCTTGATGTGCGTAGCTCCCGCTTTGCAGAAACTCGTTATCTCAAAGGTTACTCAGCATTGCTTCCTTCTTTTCGTGAAAAAATACTGTTCTCAGTCAAGGCACAGGACCGATCACATGGAGGATCCGGAAGAACCCCCTCCACCAAAGAAGCAACGCTTCAAGGTATAGCCTCCTTATGCCTGGTCACTTTTCTTTCTGGCTTACTTGATTCGTGACATTCATGACACTTCACTAACGCTAGCTTTTCAGCATCTTACCTTTAATCAGTGCGTGGCTTCTATTGGAGGAGACAGTGCCAAGTTTAGTAGGAGGTTATCACATCGTCCTAACGACAGCGAATTGTTCTTCACAGAAGCCTTAACAAAATGGAATGATCAGGATTTTGGCGTCCATTACAGTAAGTTAAGGCATTACGATAACCTTCAAACGATTGTGGTTGTTTTGTTAAGCGTGTACGTTCGCGAAAATCTTCGTAATGAGCTTAGTACTTACTGATATACTCTCCTCATCATTACGGACTGTCGGGGCGGGTCAGTGCGGCTGCGTTTTCCGCGGTGCCAAAGTCTTTCTGCACCAGTTGTTGAAGCGAGCAAATGACAGTCCGTAATGATGAGGAGGGTACATAAATGGTGGGTGCTATGGTAGTTGAGTTAGGCCACGCGGAACCACTCCCGTAGAACTGTCAGTCGCAACTGTCCGTCTGCGCTCTATGCCTGGATCTTGCTTGAGGGAGGAACACAGAGACGCCGCATGGCTCAGCTTAGCTACTGGGGCAGATGTATGTTTATGATCAAGGGAGTTTTAGATCGAGGGAAAGGATGGCGTACTTGGTCGCTGGAGGAGATCAAACTTGCCTTTGCGAAAATTCTTACGGTTGTTCACTTTTGACTTTTCTAGGTTTCCCCGTTTGAAGTGTGCTATACGCCAACCACCCTTACTCCACCGCCCGGTTCGACGGCGATTCTGGGGAAAGGGAGCAGTTTCGCGAAAGAAGGGGATAAGGTAGGCAGTAGGAAGTTGGGGATGGAGGGCGAGGTGAACTTCGCGAAAACCCCCAACAACCCCCGTCCCCCGGCAACACGCTAGCAGCAGTAGTTGATTGTATAGCTGCTGTGACAAAACGAAGGATCGGATTCGTCGATCCCATTCTGCTCCAACTCTTCGTGCAGTCCACGTGAGCCGTTCGCAGTCGTGGACCGGGCGTCGTCACTTTACTTGCGCGAGTGAAGCCCCCATTTATGCTTCGCGAAATGGCGAAAAAATTCTCCAAGCCGAGGAATGCCTGGAAGATGCAGATCACATGATCTGGCGAATATGATTAATCGATTTCCATCTGCAAAATCTTTCGTCCGCCCATTCTCCGAATCGCGGCACTACTCCTCGCTCCAGTCAACCGCGCCTCTTTGTAATCCAGAGCCAGCTTCAGCGACAGTGTCTCGATGCAGACGCTAATGCAACATTTAACACGCTTCGCGGACCGCGTGACCCACTATGGTGTGTACACATTTGTCCACGCCTGAGATTTTATATTTGATTATTTTGACTTTTCTTCAATATTCTACTGTTGTGAAAACACGTTTTCGGTTATCGACATATCCTCCCTCATAAGCGACTGACAAGATGGAGGAAATAACTGATAAACTACTTATGAAAATGATAAAATGGTTGGCACATGCGTGTAGGACGGCCCGCAGTGTGTTAAATAGAAGATGCCTCTTGTGACCACCGCTATTCCTATTACAGCCTCATTCGTGGACAGCTTGCCTTGCGATGAACTCAGTACTCATGCACAGTTGCTTCATCATAGAAAAAGCATCACCGCTTTATTACTGAAAAACTTACAAGATCAGGTTAGTTATGAGTCATTTTGTGGGGTTAGAAATGAGCTACTTTCTCTCATCTTCAGAAGTGCAAATCCATACAAGCGTTTTGCGAATTGCTATCTGCACTTGTCCTGGATTTGAAGGAGGATTTCCGTGACGATATGTGGGATTTCTTCGGTGCCTTGACGAATGTGCTAGGTACGTTGAGAACATTGTCTTTTCGGTTTGGAGTCTCGTTTTTGTTTTTCCTTTTTCTGGATGAAGAACCTTGCAGATCTTGGCGAACGCGATGTTGAATCAGTGGAAGCGGCATTCTATACCTTGTCACTTATGGTGAGAGTAATGTGGAAAACACTTATCAAAAATTTCAACTCCTCCTTTGTGTGAGTGTACTTTCTTATTTCACGCATTCAATATTAATACGCTGCTGATTTCGCGTGAAGGTTCTCGAAATCTCACAAGGAGGCGTAGTGAGCCGTCGCTGTACAGATTTTCACTGGGAATGGGGTATGCACATTGAAGCTTTATACGAGTGAATAATGAGGCAGAAGTTCTCAGGTGGCGAGTTGTTGCCATGTATTCCTGACTGAAGCTGCTTCATTCCTTGAGGCAGTTGAGAACTGACGTATTGGAGAACGTAGAATCAGAGAAGGGCTAGATAGGTATCGATCTTGTGAGCGGAAGGGATGGCGAATTGAAGAAGTAAATGAGGAACGCATCTACTTCTTTCCGCCCGGTGGCCAGTTATTTAAAGACTGCGATTCTTGGGATCGATACGTATGTAATCCTTTTGTCATGTCTGCACTTCATCAATTCGTCAATTCTTCACTGAAAAGAACGCCATAAGAAACGGACCACGGAAGTGTTCTTCTATGGTTTTCCTCTTACTCAGTGTCCCCTCTATTCATTGAGCGATCTTCTCGTTCCTTTTATTTGCCTAGTGGGGGACTTGCACAAATCACCTGCTCTCCATATTCTGTTGGAACTGCTACCTATGCTCTTGTGAAGTCCGTTCTTTTCTACTGAATAGTTTCACATCAGGCTAAGCTGAGTCAACTACAAAAGCTGGTTAAAATCCGCTTAAATGCCTCAGTATTTGCCAGTACTATTTGTTGCTGATTGCTATTTACTAATATTGCTACCATTGTTATATTTTCAGTCACTTCATCCCCATTTTCGGGAGTAGCAGGCCCTATGTTCGTCGCTTTGCAGCTGAATCGTTTTCATTTGTGATGAGGAAATCTTCGAAGTTGAGCATGGTATGAGTTTTCCGAGGAGCTGAATGTCGTTATTCATGGCCATCCCTCTCAGTTCCAGTGGCAAAGAGATTTCTTCTTATTGCAGCTATCCCGGACTGTCGTGGAGCAGGCGTACAAGGTGCAGGATGAAAGGCTGACCGAGGGCTGTGCTGAACTGTTTTTTCATGTGTGTAGAGGAGTTGGTGGAGGATTTCATAGCGCCGCCAAAGAGGTGAGATGCAAGCTAGTCTGGGCTATACTCTACGTCTTCAAGTTGCATTCTTTCTGCCCTACTAACTGTTACTTTCTCCTGCCTTTGTTTGTAGGTCCTTTGTTTCTTTGAAATCCGGAGAATGAGCATTGCGGAAGCAACCTTCGTCATTTTGTTTATAGCCTACATCTCTTCTCAGACCGCATTATTCCATTCTGCGATTATTTACACAATTTCGCTGATCATTCACAATACTTCGTGTCAGCGGCAAACGTACGTGCGGTAGCGTTTGGAGTATACGTCAGCGCCAGCGTTTAGGAAAGTGTAGGTATCGATTCAGCGAACGACAGCGTAGGCCAGTGACTAGGAAACTATGGGTACCGATCTAGCGAAAACCAGTGTACGCTAGCCACTAGGAAAATATGGATGTCGATACGACGAACTTCAGCCTTATCGCAGGCAAATTGAGCTCGAGCAAAACTGCCCGCAAAAACACTGCTGTACGCAGGCGCGTGAGGATCGATATCCATTCTGTCCATGTCGCTGGCGTTAGCATATGCAGATCAGAGCCTGTCGTTGTTGGGGATTGGGAGATCATATTGTTGGTAGGGGCTCTTATTTTCCTCGCGATTTTCCCGTTTCACATGTGCTGTTTACTCCCTCCCCCCACTCCTCCCTGGCCGCTCGACGACAGCTCGATGAGGAGGGGAGCTAGTGGGGTCGTACGGACCCGACTAAAATTCCAACTAATGGTGTGCCTCGACGCAGACGCTGCCTACGCCACCGCACGCCTGAGAGCGCAGTTATACTGTACGATGACCCGATTGGGTCGCGCGATCGCGAAGTATGAACCTAGCCTTAACAGTCCTTATCATGAGCACTTTTCCGGAGACCTTGAATTTTTTCAGCAAGTCCGCAGCATCATTACTGGTATACTGAAACTTCAAGATCAAGATATACGGGAATATGGTGTGACTATACTAGAGAAAGCAGTGGAGTTCATTGTGAAATATGTGCAGAAGGCAACCAAAGGCGATCTTTCCTTTCTTGAAGTTACTCTTATTGTGAGCATCTCTCAAATATTTATTCTGCACCTCTTACCATTAAATTCATGTAATACTTGGTACACTGCAGGACATGATGGAAAACGCGCCTACCATGCTGCATTGCACGTATCTTTTACGACTTTTAAGTCTTTGTTTTGTGCAACGGAAATGGAAGAGTTTATTCTCTTCTCAAAAACTTCTGCACTCCGCAGTTGAGAAAGTCTTAACGTCTTCGTTTTTTGAAGTTAACACCGAATTTATTGAGTTTCTCTCGAAGGTGAGTTATTTTTTTGTTCCCCCAGGTTTTGGTAAATGGTTGAAGTTTTGACTAGTGGTCTTCATCTACAATAATCGCTTTGTAGAGTATACACGCCGTGTTCTCTGATAAGGAATGGGGCAGCCGTATTGGTTCAATATGTGCAAAAATGATCTCACTTGAGGGTAGACTTTCACTGGTGTGTAATTCGCCTTAATCTTCTAAACTTTACCCATATTCCTTCTGCGATTCTGAGCCCCACTTTTGCAGGTACTAGATCTGTTCGATACCATGCTAGACGTGGTGTATTTTGATGATTATTTATTGCCAGTTATTGGTACGTTGTCAGAGGAGTTGTTCTCTAAGGTGGGATTATGTGTCGCATACTAACATCTATCTCTTAATAGACCTTCATGACCTTTCTACTTGTCGAAAATCCAACGTTTCTGTTTTAAGGAACCATCATTATCAACACGTTTGCTTAATTTGTACTCATCAATTTGTCTGAAAATGAGACCAATCCAAGATGCCCTGTCTAGGAGTAAGTTATGGGACCAAGTAGTTCTTTGTTTTTTTTTAAATAATTTCATTGTACCGTGTCAAAATTCAACATTTCTAGGTCGTAAACCAATTTTCAACGTTGCCGAACACCTTTCTGTCAAGCAGCATGTGATTGAATTGATTCCTCGTCTTGCTTCAATTGAAAGATCTCTTACTGCGTCTGTACTGCTAATTTGGCCGTGGATGTTTGATGCTACTGAATCCGCATCAGGTGAGTCGTCGCAATCTTCAGGGAGCTTTGGACTCAAGTCTTGGTTAACACGTTCGAGGCGGCGTGTACTCCCGGGAGTACACGCGGAAACCCCTCTTTTCGGTCATTCGTACAGTATTGCGAAAACACGCGCATATTTTTTTGTTCTTTTTGCGACTGATTATATTTCACTAGCATATATTTACACAAGTACGAGATCCATAATCAGCTCTATCCACACCTTCAGGAATAATGTTGTAGGTGAAACCTGAACGACTCTTAGGCATTCTGTTTCCCATTCCGATACAGTCGTGCCGTCTCTGTAACTAAACAGATCCTTATTTGATCGAAAATTGTTTGTTCGCCTACTGAAGTTACCGTTCTGTTTGAATTTCACCCATCCCAATCGCGCGTCCGGTCGCGCGATCGCGAAGTCTGAACGCGCTCTTGTAGCCGTAATTGTTATACCACTTGAAAATCGCTAGATGAGGCTGCGTGCTACTAGCATTATTTGAATCCACTCGGTGGCTCTTGATTTGAAATAATGTTGCGTAAGCGTTTTCTCCTTACAGGTGAAGAAAACGTGATCGGTTATCTGAAAGAGCTGATTGCTGGAGATGATCATTCGCTCGAAGCTTCGCAACTAGCTCTCATTGCTGCGTCTTCCCTATTTCAAGTTAAAAAATCGCTCCTGAAGAACATTGATTCCAATGAACTGGAACGATTTGTAAGGTAAAAGAGTAAAAGCATTGCTTCATTTACACTTTCTTGTTGTTTCACTTTCATCATCTTAGAGCTATGTCACGTATTCTTCAACTGTTGTTATCTATTGTAGGTGCAGCAATTGTTGCGAGTCTTCGCTTCGCTTACATCGATTTTACTTAGAGGCGAACGAGAATGCATTAGAAGGGAGTAATTTGAGAAGGCAGGTTTTACTTATTTCATAACGCATGATGATGAAAGCGTCGCCCCGAAGGAGTGTTTGGTAGTTTTGGTATTTAGTTGACAATATAACTGTTTGACTGTTTAAGGTCTGACAGTTAAAAACCACTTCAGGCTTGAAATTGCTTTTACTTTCCAATGAAAAAGTGTCGTAGTGGAGACCTACAGCGTGGCCGAGATCGTGGAGACCTACAGTATTCCGAAAACCGTTCCTCAGCCGCTCCTTGCCTTCACAGCAAAGGGTTGTTAGTGTAGTACGTATGAGGGCATAAGAGTAATCCGGAGGTTTCATTTAAAGGAGAATAGTCCGATAGACAGGATATCAAGGAAATGCCCGGATTATGATCTTACTTGAACTGTAAATGGTTACTGCCCTCCTGCCTACCTATACTCTCACAATTTTTTGTCTAATCTACCCTTCTTTTTTGTCATTCGAGCAAGACTGCTTGCCTCCGTTAGGAGAAGTTGCCATGTTGATAGATTGACCAGAAACTCAACATTAAATCGAAGACTGTCTTTGGTAGAGAAATCCAAATTGTTTTGTTTCAGAATATCTGAACTCCTTACACCTTGCTATTTCCATCCGAATGGGTATGTGAGAAGAACTGCCTTGGAAATACTGAAATCGTTCAATATCGAAGTAGAAGGAGTTGAGGATGAGGAGAAAAGACATTCGGAGGTGGGTCGTGGTCTGCCAGTGTATTCATTCATGCAGCTGATTTCGTCACTTGCTTTCAGGAACATGACGAAAACTTATTCTCCACCTAATTCAATCAAACATCAGTGGAAGAAATGAAGGGGGACCTCATATTACAAAAACACATGAAGCGCAGTTTTCGATTAGATCAATGTAAGCCCCATTTGACTTGTGCAGCGCCGAAAATACGCCAAAGAACAACTAAGAAACCATCTCGACAACAAGTAACGAAAAAGAGTCAACTCACATGATCATATGCCACACCACTGCCCTTTGGCATAAACCTTCTGTGGGGACCGAACATGAGCTTATGAAACTGAAGCAGACGACCTCTGGAGTCTATGACCTCGCAGCACTCAGCCGCAAGCATGATAGAGAATAAGTTTTCGTCGTGTTCCTGAAAGCAAGTGA